ACACCATTCTAATAGAATTGTAGCTAGGCACATGGCTGCCCAGTTAGGCTACATTTCCCAGCCTCCCTTGCAGCTGGATAAAACCATGTGACTAAATTCTTGCCAATGGAATGTGAGTGGAAATGATGTATGCCACCTCTGGTCAGGACCATAAAACAGTGGCATACCTCCTTCGTGTTATCCTCCTCCTTCCCTGGCTGGAACCCAGACATAGTGCCTACCCAGCCTCAATCATGGAGATGGCAACAATGTCCTGGGTCATTGGCTGTAGGGGATGGAGGAGCAATGATTTGGAAGGAACCTGAGCCCCTGACTGAACACGGGGAGCAGAGCTGTACTGCTTACACCTTTCACACTGTTGAAGGAGAGAGAAATAAACTTCTTTGTGCATTAGGTCATTGCATTATTGGGTCTCTTTGTACAGAAGCTTAGTTTTACCTGAATCACATAGCCTTGAGGAGTCTGGGAAAGCTTTTTGGAGGAAGTGACAGCTAAGTTGAAACCATGAGACAGAGCACTTACTTACAGGAGGGTAGGGCAAGGTGGGAAGGATAATGTCTAATGTGTAATGTGTGTTAAGGCCCAGAGGTAAGAGATCCAGTGATTTCAGAGTTGAACATGTGGACAGCAAGGCCAGCCTTGGAATGATGAACATGCAGAGGGATGCCAGGGTCAGGTCTTGCAGGGCCTTGGAAGCCATAGAACCAGGAGAGTGGCAGGATCCAATTTATACTTTAAAAGAGAGAGTTTTGGCTGCATATAGGGGCTGGGCTGGGAGGAACAGTGCTGTGATAGGGCCCAGAAAGGATCATGGTGAATACATCTAAGTGAGTGAGTGTGGTACTCCAGGGATGTGGCAGAGGATGGAGCGCAGCAGATACTTTTGCAGGATTTGTAAAGGTGGAACGTGCAGGACCTGGAGAATGCATGCATGTCAGGGGGAGAGCGAGCAAGAAGTGCAGGGGACTCGCAGGTTTTGGCTTGGACCCCTGGATGTATGGTGGTCCTGGTCACTAAACAGATACCCCAGAGGAGGACCAGATTGAGATTGTGGGGTGGGGCAGACGCTGTTGGAGGACAAGGAGTCTGGTTGGGGGCATAGTGGATCCGAGGTGTTGCAAGACATCTGTGCCAGTCAGGGTCCCAATAGAAAACAGACGGCACACTCAAGATAGTTTGAGGAGGGTTTATTTAGAAAAGGACTAATTACAAAGGTGTGGTGGGGTATGGGCTACCCACAAGGGGGAGTGCAGGAAAAGGAGGCTAGCAGCAGTGGACCTGTTACCACCCCTAGGCTGATAGTACTGGAACCCGGAGGAGGAAGAAGAGGCACGTGGAGTAGGCCATCTTGAAAGGAGAGGTGAACTTCAGTCAAGGAACACAGCCAGCCCAAGGTAACCCCTCATGGAGGGGCCAGGAGAGTAAGTTCCGTGACCTCGCTCTCCTCCCTCCCTTGGATTTTCTTCCAGGACACAAGACCCACCATTGGCCAAACCCAACTGAAAGCCAGAGAGCCCAGGAGCAGCTGAATTTAGGGATCTGAAGATCATGAATGGCTCTAGGCTGAAGATACAGAGTCAGTATTTCTTAGGTAGCCAGAAAGAGCACACACTTACCTGCCTGTGTCAATATGTTACCTTGGTAAGGTAATTTGCTTTTCAGAAATTATTTCTAAAAATAGTAAATAAAGAAATTGGTCCTGGAGTCTTGCTTTCCAGAGCAAGGCCTTTCTTCATTTCCCATTAGGACTATCATTTATTAGGCACTTGCTAGAATACATTGTTCCATAAATGTTTATAAGGTAGGTTTTATTGTCCATTTTGCAGAAAAAAAACTGAGGCTCAGAGAATATGTGACTTGTTCAAGGTCACATGGCTAGTGTCAGACCCCAGAGTCTGAGATTTTACCCACCATAGGTTTTGACTGTTGACTTCCCTTCTTATTCACAAAGGACATCAGTCCCTTCCTTCCTTGTTCGTGTTACCAGAAGATTACCTGACAGCAAAGGGTCATTGCCAGTTACAGATTGGCTTCTCTCAGTAGATCTCAAACTCTTCAAGGGCAGGGTTAATAGCCCGTTGTGTCCCCAGATGTTAACACAATGTCTGACATAAGTGATCAATGAATACATTTGAATGGATGAATATATTAGATATGAGTGACAGTACCTCTTTTGCCTTTAACATGGGGTGATGAGGAACCAATGAGATTTATAGACATTAAAATGTTGTGTAAACTGTAAAATGCTAGGTGATGGCAAGATATCAGCTCTAAGTCACTATCAGGTTATTACCTTGGTTCAAGTTAGTTTACTTGATTGCTCTCCCTCAGAACCGAGGGCTTAGTGTCCAAACCCAACAGACAAGTGGCCAGAAAGTTACCATTGGGGAGCAGGTATAAAGGAATAAAGTCTGGGGCTCTCATTCTGGGCTCCTGATGTACCCCAGCTTGCCCACTCAGGATTTGGTGATAAAATAGAATAACGTCCTTTTTGCTACTCTCATGGAAAGTTAAGTGAATGTGTAAACTATCTTCATTTTAACCTTCATTCTCACACATTTGCTCTTGCTGCCTTCTGCCTGCCAGCAGACAACACCAAATGAACTTAGAGAAAACAAAATGATTTTTCTTCTTAAAATTTTTTCAAAAAAATTACAAAAGTGACCCATGCTTATTGTGAAAAATGCAAGTAACATAGAAGCTGTGATGCACAGATCACACCTCCTCACTCTCAGACCCACTGCCCAGGGGAACCACTGTGAAATATTTGGTGTGTCCTCTTCTCTTTCCTTGCCCTTCCCTTGCAGGCAGTGGCATGGCTGGGAGCTGAGGAAGAGATGGGGCCAAAGAGATGGCTGTGGGGCAGGGGGCCAAGGAGGGGGCTGGTGTGGTTTGGATATTAGTTATACATGGGGATTGGGAAAATAAATACACTGAAGATAATAGGAGTAGGGCTTTTCACTGTTTGAGAAGTGAATTACAAAATAAGGGGAAAGACTAGAAACCTGACTTGTTGGATTGGCATTGGAAGTATTAGTGTAAACATATATATATATATATATATTTTACCTATATAGATATAGATAGACAGATATAGATATATCAATATAACTGTATGTATATATAAGCTTGTGTGCACACTTACATATATTTCCTAACTGTCTGTAAATAAGGGCTTAAAACCCATTGCCGTCGAGTCGATTCCGTAGAACTGCCCCATAGAGTTTCCAAGGAGTGCCTGGTGGATTCGAACTGCTGACCTTTTGGTTAGCAGCCATAGCTCTTAACCACTATACCACCAGGGTTTCCAATAAGAGCTTAGAAGCAATGATATCCCAAAAGGAATGAACAAAAACGCATCCAGATCTTGATTTCTAAATTACATCTTCTACTAAAAGGAGAATTGGCTGATTCCAGGGCTGGGGTTGGGAAAGTTCAAGATGAGTCTGGAACATTGTGTTGTGCCAGAAAGTAAGAAAGTGCTCAGAGAATGATGGGGGCATGTCAAAAGACAGACAAGCCAACTTGAAGGGGCTCCCACTGGCCAAGTCTGGGACAATTTGAGCATCACAATAAAAAAATGTTTCGAATGGATTACAATGTATTGAATAAAATAAAGCTCATACTAATAATATAAATAAAAATTTATGAGTGCATCTGAAGTAAATAAAAAATGAAGAAATGAGTGGGGAGAAGGGAAAGCTCTTCCTCACGGTAGAATGGCAACTGTTTGGCCATCATCAGGGTGGTGGTTGATTCAGGCAGGAGTCAACAATGGATGCTAAGAACTACCTCCTCACAAAATATGTTATCACTTACAAAGGAAAAATTAGTCAGTTTATGATGAAGAAACCTGGCAGACACCACCTCGACAAGGTGATCAAGTTCAGTGTCACCAGTGGCGGGACAGGTCAACATCATGCATCTCCTGATGATGTGGTGCACTGAGATAAGCCAGCATCATTTCTATGGAATCACTGCCAAGAAGGCATGACTTGAGCCTGGACATGAAGAAACACGGGACAGTCTCAGGTTGAGAGACATCCTACAGAATGAAAAGCCTGCACTCTTTAAAAACTGCCAAGGTCATGAAGACAGGGCAAGACTAAGGAATGTTCCAGAATGAAGGAGGATAAAGAGACATGACAACCCAAACGAAACATGTGATGCTGGATTAAATCCTGACCAGAAAGGAAAAAGACATTGTTGAGACAGTCGATGGGGTCTATGAATTCGATGGTAGAGCTGTATCAGTGCTGGTTTCCTAGTTTGGAAGGTTGTCTTGTGGTTACCTAGGAGAGTGGCCTTGTTGAGGGGGAAATACATCTAGGGATGATAGAACATCATGTCTACAACTTAAATAGTTCTGAAAAAGAATAGTTCAACTACCTCAGAAGAAGAACAAGGAAAACGAGAATATTCATAGAAAGAAGGTGATGGAGCAAGTGTGATAAAATGTTAACAAGTTGAGAATCTCCGTGAAGGGGACACAGGAGCTCTTTGCTACTGTTCTTGCAACTTTTTCAGCAATTTTCATTTATTCCAAAGTGAATTTTTAAAGGTTTTGTGCGCATCCAGCCAATTTTTCTGTGTACATATATGTACTTATATTTACATGCACGTGTATACATATATCCAGAAGCTCAGGCCTCAATCCAGACTAAATCAGAAGTTTGGAGACTTGGTAGCCAGGCACTTGGCTTTTAAAAAACTCACCAGGTAATTCCAGTGTGTAATCAAGTTTGCGAACCCCAGGTGATTCCCGTGTCCAGTCAAGTGCTGTAATCCAGTGTGCACGGTATCAGCTGTGGAGCTGGTTGAAAAACAGATTCCTGGACTCACGCTCCGAAGAGTCGGATCCCGTGGGCCCAGGCGTGCTCGTTTGTTATAACCCGGCCGGGAAGGGGCAGCAGGTGGTCCGGGCCCGCATCCCTCCCCCCTCCCGCGCGTCCTGGGCCTCGTGAGGCCGCGCAGGTGCTCAGTGAAAGGCCGGGCCGCCCATGCCTCTGCGCACCGCCATGGACGACGCTGCACCCTCACCTCTGGGATCAGGCCGGGCGCTGCCGAGCCTTCTGTTCGCCCCAGAAGCTGAGGTGCTGGAAGACGTGCTGCGAGAGCAGTTCGGGCCGCTGCACCAGCTGGCCGCTATCTGCCGGCTCAAGCGGCTGCCCTCGGGCGGCTACTCGTCCACCGAGGGCCTCCAGCTGGTGCTGGAGCGGCGGCGCGCGGCCAACGCCAAGGAGCGCGAGCGGGTGAGGCCCTGCCCGGCGCGGGCCCCCAGGGTCATCTCTGCCTGGCAGCCCCTCGAGCCCGCCTCGAGGGTGCCGACTCCCTAACCACCAAACACCTGGTCAATACCTGGTGGACCCACTCACCGCCCACCCTTGGGGCCCACAGCCGACTGGTGTCCTTAGCATGCTGGGGGAATGACAGTGGCCTTGTCACCCTCTACCGTCGTTCAGCTACTCGTTTACGCGCTGCTGGAATGATTTCCTTAGGTGCTTAAGGACCTGGACTTGTGTGGGAACCAGGTCTGGGGCCCTGGCAGAGGAGGCCCCTGACAACTTCAAAAATGCCTCATTTGGCAGGTATTCTGTAAAAGCTTATCAGCACATAGGAATTGCGCTTAAATCTCACAACTGCACGTGCTGGTAGGGTATTTGGGGCGTAAGGGGACCCCTCCCCCCGCCCTTATTTTCCCTGCCCTCTGCATCTCAGCCTCAAAGCAAATAGGTGGAGGAAGAAGGAAGACTAGCGGCACTTCCTTTTTTTTTTTTTGGAATAACGAACCTACCACGCCCCAGTATGCCTCCAGGCTTCCACTCAGTCACTTGTCAGTGACAGAAAGTTACTGTTTCTCGAACAGCGGGGATACGCGCCATAATTCACCAATTGGAATGGTCCTGTGGGCTGTTGCTTGAGCGACATCTACTGGTAGCTTTTAGTATCTGTAAGCTTGGTCCCAAACTAGGTTGTTTTCTCCTATCTGGTCTTTGCAGAAGTGGGTCCCAGAGAGGGAAGGGTGAGCTAGTGGAAGAGTGAGAGAGCGGACTCTTACGCCTGCAACTTGGAGAAGTTCCGCTGAGGGCTGTTCCTAAACACCCCAGGCCCCTTAGAAATGTAACACGTGAGTCAGGGTAAAGGTGTGAGGAGAAAGGAGGGAGAGTAGAAGGCTTATGGGAAAATTGCAAGAGTGCGGAGGCATGTTTTTACTAGGCGCTAGAGCCTCTATCAAAATAATCCTGTGATCTGTTTGGGGGCCCTAAAATAAGATTGTGATCCAATAGTTTGCGCTGTATGTGGGCCTTCCCACCAGGAAAGATTGCCTTCTGCAGAGAATTGGTCCTGGTTTTATCTACTATTTTAAAGCTATTGACCTTTACTGTTCTCCTTTATAATGATAAAACTAATTCACCTGGAAAATGTAGCCTGACTAAAGAGAGAATTGAGACACCTATAACACAGATATAACTATCCTAAACATTTTTTATGTATAGATTCCCAGTCTTTTTTTTTTCCTCATATGTGCATGTGGATATCCCTTTACAAAACTGTGATCATCCTGTACATATCTTTATCACTGTTTTTACTTCACATTGTCAAAAAAATTTTTCTCATATTAAGTATTCTTTTAAAGAACATGGAGTCCTGATGGCCCAGTAGTTAAAGCGCATGGCAGCAAACCGAAAGATCAGTGGTTTGAACCCACCAGCTGCTCCACGGCAGAAAGATGTGGCAGTCTGCTTCCGTAAAGATTACAGCCTTGGAAACCCTGTTGGGCAGTTCTACCCTGTCCTGTAAGGTCGCTATGAATTGGAATTGACTCGATAGCAATGGGTTTTGGGTTTCAAAGAACAACTATTGACTGAAGTCCATCACTTAGATGAACCATAATTTATCCAGTCTTCTATTCTTGGGCACACACACTGTTTACAGCTTTTCACTGGTGCGTAAACCTAAGTGCATGTCTTGACAATTGCCTTGGAATAAAATGGTGGGAATTACTGGGACATAGAACATATACAAGATTCCTAGGTGGCACAAACAGTTTACTCAATACTAACCTAAAAGTTGGTGGTTCAAACCCATCCAGTGGTACTGTGAAAGAAAAGGCCCGGCAATTTGCTCCTGTAAAGATTATAGCCAAAATAAACCCTCTGGAGCAGCTCTACTCTGTAACACACGGGGTTACCGTGAGCCGGCATCCGCTCACAGGCAACTGCCACCACCAACAAACAACAGAACATAATGAATCTTTTGAGTTTTGATACAAATTGCTCAATTACTTTCTAGAAAGTTTCACCAGTTTTTAATCCCTCATAGGTTATCAGAATCGACTTGTCGGCAGTGGGTTTTTTGGTTTTTACAGCTTATAGGACTGTTTCCTTTTTCATGCTCTTCCCAATGCTAAGTATGATTAACAAAACAAAATTGTTGCCAGCTTGGCAGGTGAAAAGTTGAGTCTAATTCCAGTTTTCATGTATAGTTCTTTGATTGTTAAAGTTTTAAATATTTTCATGCATTTGTTGGTCATTGTATTCTCCTGTGAATTGGCTGACTATGTCCATTTTCCACTTTGCTCCGGGGCTGGAGGGGGCTCTCATTCTAAGTGAGGCTATTGGCTTACGGTGCAGCAGGGGTCAGTTGTGCTGTGCTCCTGTGGGGATGGTACCAGAGTTGCAGGCCTTCAGAGCTTGGGGGTCAGACCCTGGAGAATGGGGTGCTGGCAGCCTGGGGCCTCTGGCCTGTCTGACAAACAAAAAATAAAATAGGAGTCACCCTCTGCCTTTCAAGTCTCACCAACATGTTAACTCTTTGCATACTTGGCTTTATATCATTAACTCAGCTAGAAAGAGATTGAAGAGTTTATGGCACAGTGCTTGAGCAGACAAGTGTTTGTATATTTTATTCTTCATCATCATCAGTACCACTTACTGAGGGCTTTCTGTGTGCCAGGGTGAGGTGCTTTATGTGTACATTGTACCACTTAATCACCACAAAATCACAAGATGGGTATTTTCCACTTTGCAGATAACAAACTGAGGCTTAGCGATATTAAGTATCCCACACACTCTTGTAAAGCTAGTAAATGGTAGAGCTGGGTTTTAACCCTGGATGTAGTTGACTCAGAGCTTTTACCCACTACCTTCTATTGCTGCCACATTATAATGCAGAAAGTAATCTCTCAAAGGAGAAAGAGGGGAGGTCAATGCCAATGTGTATAAACTTCCAGCCCATCTACCCACTGTGCCAAGCTTATGCCACCCCTTCTTCATTGCTATGAACTGCTCTGCCAGTGGAAGGGCAACTCTTTGTGTATGCTGTTTAGATTCGCCGCCCAGATAAGAGAAACATGCCCTCACAACCTCTGCTGGGGTTTGGGGGGACGTTGGTACAAATTAGCTTCTCTTTGTGTCACTGTGCCTTTTTGTTTTCTAGATAAAAAACCTCAATCATGGTTTTGCCAAACTGAAGGCACTTGTGCCCTTTCTTCCACAAAGCAGGAAACCTAGCAAAGTTGATATCCTTAAAGGTGCAACTGAATACATACAAGTTCTCAGTGATGTTTTGGAAGAAACCAAAGACTCTGAGGTAAAGGTTTAAGAATTTCAAATGATAGTCACAATTTATTGAGCCTTTCTATGTACCAGGCATTTGACAAGCAATTTACATGTACTTTCCAGTTAATGTTTATAATGATCCTGAGCTATTGATGATCCCCATTTTACAGAGGATGAAACCAAAATAGAGGTAAAGACCACATACAGCTAAGAGGTCAGGACTGGGATTTGAATCCAGGTCTGCATGAGTTTTGGAGTCAAGTTCCTAACCATCTATATACTTCTGAGCAAACAAGTTCAATGACACCTAGATACTAAATGCTGAATCTTAATAGGACCCTGACAGCTGAGGCATGAGGAGAGGCTTCCATAAAACACTCTGTGGTGGTTGTTTCCCTTTAATAGGACACACATCAGATAGGGCACAGAAAGGAAAAGACATTTCTTTCTCTAAGGGGCCCTCCTATAAGCCCTCCCTGGGGGACCACTGCTGCTGGAGAGCTCACCCAGAGGCCTGATAATACCAATCTCACAGGGCTTTGTGACTATTCAGGGGAACAATGTAAGTGAACCTACTTTGCAAACTGAAGCACCATAGTATCACCAATATTGTCAGGGTGGGATTGCCAAAAATGTCCATCAGGCAGTGGAAGGTGCAGTGCAGGCTGGTGTTTTATGGATTTGTTCCATGGAGAAGTAAGCATTCAAGGCATGACAATGGATCAGTCACCAGGGGAGATAAGATACAAAGAGACAAAAGCTGGGGCCTTAGAAATGAGTCCTCGGGGACACCTATTGGCAGGAGGAAGGAGGTGCCATCAGAGAGGAGAAAGTGGAAGGAAGGTGGAGGAGCTAGATAGGATCACGTCAAGGAGGGGAGTCCTGGGAAACCAAGGATGGAAAGTAGCGTGAGAAGCTACGAAGAGACCAAGGAAGGCCAGGACAGGGGGAGGCAACTAGATCCAGTGCTTGAAAGCTGGAAGTCAACTTCTAGGGGACTGAGGGAGGATTATTGATGAAGACTTGGAGTCAAAGCGGAGGGAACTGGCAAACCTCAAGCCCATTCAACTTGGAAGTCTAAGAAAGGAAAAAGGGATCAAAATGTAAGAAAAGGAAGCTGTTAGATCAAATGAAGGTCTTTTCTAAGTAGTGATGTGATCATGTTTAAGGACAGAAGAGAAGAAAAGCTAGAAGAGAGAAGAGGAACAGAATCATTCTAGGAACATAGGGCAAACATAGCCAGGTATATAGTGGTACTAATGAGTTGTTGTTGTTGTTTTTTTTTTTCTACTTGTGCAATAGTCCTAGTCAGGAGACTACTGGGCGAGTACATCCTGCAAAGGTGGACGGATTGTCCTATTGGCCGAATTACAGTTGAGTTGTGGCATGGTCATAGTGTTTGGACATGTGCAGGTGGCTGTCTTAGTTTTTCCTTGCATGTTAAATGTGTAACAGAAGTGCTTTTTCCTGTTCTGCATTCATTATAAAATATAGGATGTGTTCCATGCCATAATCCTTTTAATGCAGTTGACCACTGCAGAACATTTTAAGGTTAAAGTCTGTTGAACAATACTCTTCTCTCCATAATAACTTAAACATTGCCCTTATCACTTAAATGAAACTTTGTCAATTAAAACTTTGAAATATATTGATTTAAATCTTCATCGTCTGACTGTCATACTGTCTGACAAATATGGTTTCTAGAAACAAGATACAGATGATCAGAACTACAGCAACACTTCTGAACCACATATATCCTTGGTTAGAGAGCTATCGAGAAACATCACTCAACATACCAACTGCGCCATAGGCTTGAAGAAAGAGGAGGAAGGGCCTTGGGCAGATGGTGGCAGTGGCGAGTCGACATACACTTGTCACCAGAGCATGATGCCTGCGACTGGAGTTGGTATCTCTCCCATCAGGAGTTCGGTAAAGTATTCTTTCTTAACTATCCACAAAGATGTCAAAAAACTCAGAATGTAGACCTTGAGGCATGGCATTTTCCATGCTAAAACAAGATAATTTTTTTGACAGCACCTCTGTAGGGAAGGTGTGGCGTGCTAGTCTGGAAATCTATTATTTCTATTAATTATCTTCCTAAATTAGTGGGTAAGATGTTCAAGTGGAGAGAAAACTCCCCCAGAATTACCCCCGACAGAGTCGAGCTTATATTTTAATGACTTAATTAACACATTGAAAGATTTTCTGGACTCTGTGGTGATTATTTAAAAAAAAAGAAGTAGCTTGCCATGCATAAAGACACATGATGGGGGTGGTGGTGGTTGTTGGGGCTGTTGGAAGGCAGCGTTATTACTTACTTTGTAAATAATAACAAAGGAGTTTATTGTAGCAGCTCTTATTACTTTGCCAAACTGACAAGGCAGCTGGAAGAGCAACATGCTTCTCTAAAGCTAGAAGGTTGGTTGGACTTTTTGCCCTCACTGTGGCTCAGTGTTACACAAATGAGACCCTGCAACAAGATTACTACTGAAACAAGAAAGGTTTGTAGGAATGGGAAACCAAGTGTATTTTACCTAGCAAGTTATATAAGAGGGAGGGGAAGCCCTGTGGAGTCATAAGTGATGGTTGGTGGAAAGAGATTTAGAATAGTAGCTTTAATGTAAGCTCTGGGGGCAGACTACTGAGGTTCAAACCAAACTTGCTATCTGTGTGGCCTTGGGTGAGCTACTTAGTCTCTCTGATCATCAATTTCCCCATCTGTAAAATGGGAATGATAATTATACCCACCTTGCACATAAGATACCTGTGAGTTTCAAATGGCATCTTGTCAGTAAATTGTCTAACACAATACCTGGCATGTCAATGTTCCCTTGGAACATATATTATTAAATTTGCTTGACTTGCCATGAGCAATCAGTATTGATTAGAGAGCAGTTGATAATAAGCCGCAGATACTTCAGCTCTGCTTGTAGCAATTCCTTTGGATTTTCTCACTTGGCTCCCACCAGCGCTCCACTCTGGTTTGAGATCTTCAGGCTTCCTGCTGGCTGACTGGCCTTGGCTCCCATTTCTGATTTTGATGACTGTTTTCTAAGGATCCCTCTGTGCTCAGTCTAGATTGTCACATTCTGGCCACTTGAGACATAAACCCTTCCTAGCCAGTCAGCCCTTGTTGTTGTGTGCCATCTAGTCGATTCCGACTCTCAGCGACCCTGTAAGACAGAGTGCAACTGCCATATAGGGTTACTAAGGAGAGGCTGGGGGATTCAAAACTGCCAACCTTTGGTTAGCAGCCTGAGCTCTTAACCACTTCGCCACCAGGGCTCCCATCAGCCCTTAGGATACAGAATTCCTCTTGCTAGTACATAAGCTGGAGCCCTGGTGGTGCAGTAGTTAAGAGCTCAGGCTGCTAACCAAAAGGTCAGCAGTTTGAATATACTAGCTGCTCCCTGGAAACCCTGTAGGGCATTTCTACTCTGTCCTATAGGGTCGCTATGAGTTGGAATCGATTCGATGACAACAGGTTAGTACATAAGCTGCCATGATTCCATGTCAGCTCTGAGCACACAGAGTGAAGCAATGACCCCAGATGAACCTTGAGCTTGGCTGTGTAAGTTAATAATAATACCTCTACAAATGGTAGTTTTCATACGTACTAGATATTAAGGTAAGGACCTTATTGCATTTAGTCCTCACCAATCCTTATCAACCCTATAGCAACGATTGTGAGGATGGTGCAGGGTTGGGCAGTGTTTCGTTCTGTTGTTCATGGGGCCACTATGAGTCAGAATCAACCTGATGGCACCTACCAACAACAACAACAAAATCCTTATCCAAGTAGGTATCACCATGTTGTTCTTGTGGTGAGCAGCGAGGCTATACCTTCTTGCCAGTCCTGTAGGGCCTGGGTTGGTGAAGAACCTACACGGTAGCACAGCAGCCTGCGCTCTGCAACGTCAGCATCCAGGATGTACTGGGGGTCCTTGTTTCCAAGGATAATTGATCCTGGGAATAGGCCATTCGCAATCAATCAATTTAAACAAAGACTAACACTTTTTAGTAAAAAATAAAGGTTCTGAGTGGAACTTTCTTTAAAAAAAGGGAACAAGACACACTTAATTTTCAATCTTTTATCTAACCAAGTTTAAGCTATTAATTGGTAAAGTATGCTAATTCTTAAAATGAACAAAGACTGAATCAAGTATTTGAGATTTATTATAAGTCTGTTAACTCTGCCAAGCATCCTTGACTTCATGCTTGACTTCTAAGGCCTGACTATAAGAGTGCAAGGGTTTTCCTCAGTGTTCACAAGGGTTTCTTATCCTTCTATATTTAAATAACTCCTTTTTAAAATGAAAAATTTATTCTGGAACAATAATAAACTTATAAAAAAAGTTGCAAGTATAGTACAAAGAACTTTTTTCCTAAACCATTCGAGAGTTGCCAACCTGATACCCCATCACCCTTAGTTAATTTTGTATGTGTTCCCAATAAACAGGGGCATTCTCCTACATAACCAGAATACAACCATCAAAATCAGGAAATTAACATTGTTGCTTTACTGCCATCTAATCCTCAGGCCCTGTTCAAATTCCACCCATCATCATCATAATGCCCTTTATAACAAAAGTAGCCAGGTGAGAATCATGAGTTCCATTTAGTTTTGTCTGTTTAGCTGTTTAGTCTCCTTCAGTCTGGAACGGTTTCTCAGTCTTTCCTTAGCTTTTATGACCTTGATGCTTTTGACAATTACAGGTCAGTTATTTTGTAGATGTTTGTTGATTTGGGTTCATCTGTTTCCTCCCAGTTAGATTCAGATATGCATCTTTGGCAGGAATATCATAGAAGTGATGCTGTGTCTACGCATTGCATCTTATCAGGTGGTCACAATTTTGATTTGCCCCAATTACTAATGATAGTCACTTGATTAAAGTGGCGACTTCCAGGTTTCTCCACTTTAAAGTTACTCTTTTTTTTTTCTTTTATAACTAATATGTACTTTGTAAGGAGGTGCTTTGAAATTATCTAAATATCCCATACTCATCAAAGATTTTATTTATGTAACTTTTTATTTTGAAATAATTATAGATTTACAGAAAGTTGCAAAGGTAGTAGAGAGGTCCCATGCACCCTTCACTCAGTTTCCCTCAATGGTTGCATCTTCCATAGCGGTAATATCAAAACCAGACAATTGACATTGGTACTGTGGGTGTATAGTTCCATGTCATTTTATCACACATGTAGATTCGTGTAACCACAACCGCAGTCAAGATACAGAGCTGTTCCATTACCACAAAGATCTCCCTGGTGCTACCCCTTTATAATTACACCCACCCTCTTCCCTCACCCCTCCACCCTCCCTAACTCCTGGCAACCACTTCTCCAACTCTATAATTTTGTCACTTCAAGAATGTGATATAAATGGAGTCATAAAGTACATGACCTTTGGAGATTGGCTTGTTTTTACTCAGCATAATGCCCTTGAGATGGTCCAAATTGTTGTATCAAGAGTTTGTTCCTTTGGATTGCTGAATACTGTTCCATGGGATGGATGTACTGCAGTTTGTTTCACTATACTCTTATGGTAGAACACTTGGGTTGTTTTTATATTCATTTATTGTTTAATATTAATATGGATTTGTGGTTTTCTATTTAATTCAGTAGATTATTATATCATCATATAATTATTATTTATTTTGTTGCTCAAATTGTCCTCAGTGTGGTCAGTGACAGTCCCTTCAGGCTGGCTACCTTTCTGTTTGACACATCGCTATCATTCTTTGATCACTTTCTTTCTAACATAAGACATTCCAGGTTCATCATGTACTTTCCCAGGCTTAGTTCTGGAATCAGCCATTTTGTCCAAGGACTTCCCCTGTATATAAGCCATTTCCCATCTCTGCTGCCATCTCTACCCTGCGCAGCTGTTCTCCTCACCCCTCTTGGGCTCTAACACCCACGATTAGCTTGCCACTCCACAAGAACACCTCTCTTGTCCAACTTGGCATGGACATTCCACGCCAGGCCACCCCACTTACCCTGCTCACAGTCTAGCTTATGGATACTTGTCTGACTGCTTGGGCTTCTCCACCCCACACTGGACTGCCCCTCCACATAGATATCCTTCTCACCTGGTTTGGGCTCTGATTCCCCATGCTAGACCACCCTTCCATGGAGGTGCTCTTCTTACCCTAATTGGACTCAAACAATTCACACTAAGCATCCTCCTGTGTGGACATCCCTACCCCATCCTGCTTGGGTTCTGACATCCCATGCCAGGCCTCCTCCATGTGCTAATGCAGTCCTCACCCTGGTTGGGCTGCAGTACCTTTCTCTGGGTCATCATGCCTCCCCTGGCCTTACTGTGACCCAATTAATGGTATTAGAACTGAAATGTTCAGGAAGGGGAAGGGGAAATCATTTTTTCTTTGAGGCGCCTACTGTGTAACTATCTTTCTGGGTAGCTTTCTCTTTAACAGGTTTAACACTGAGATCCTTATTTGCACACGGCTTGAGCGATTGTTCACTGTCACTTTTATCAACTTTATAAATCTTGTATTTTATTTACCATCAGGAACCAGGATGGGGTCCAAGATCAAGGGTCCAAGGAAGTGCTGCTCAGTCTGGCCTTTATTTGAAAAAAGGATCATCATAAGGGTCAGCCCAGCTTACCCAAAGGGGTGGCTACACAGGGTTTCAGGATCCAGGCCATTTACCCTAACTCGGGGCCTAGTGACAGCTGACATGGCTCTTTGACTGAAATGCTCTATGAGGAGGGGCCTAGAGCTTGGAAAGCACGCTCTCTCTAACATCAGTTCATAGCAGTGGCCTCCCTTCTTCCTGCCAGAAGATCTGGACAGTGGAATCCTGGTGCTGGCAGGGGTGGGCGTTTTAGGGGTGGAAGAATGGATCAGAGCAGGCTGTGCAAGATCAACAACATTCCTGGAAGGCAAAATCCCAAATGAAGT